ATTTAATCGTAAGATTCCGTTATTGAAATACGCAAACTATTTAAAACTAATAATAATTTTTTTAACTTACAAATTATCATTAGTATTGTTTTAAAAAAATATAAAACATTAGGTAAATAGGGGTCAACTTGTTATGATTAAAAAATTTAGAGAAATAAAAAAATGTAAATTGAGTTTCGCACTACGAAATGAAATGGGTATCAAAACAATCCATCATCCTTTTAATCCATAAACATTTCCAAGCAGCACGAGTTGTTTTGTGGCTCCTGTTGCGCTTTTTGCATTTGCCAGCAAGTACTTGAAAGTTTAAATGATGGTAAGACAAACAAGACTTATATACGAAGTAAATTATATAAGAGAACATGTATAAAATGTATATAAGGCTGGGAGTATATACTTTTTGCAAAGCAAAGGAAACACACAAAAACCACAAAAATGCCACCTTCTCTGGATGCTGATATTTTCGTTGTTGTTGGAATTCTGGGGCGGCTGTGACGCCCATCAAAGGGTTAGGGCGAAAGGGGTTAAGGGGTTAAGGCTAAGGCAGAGGTCGGATTTTGGAGGTGGCAGATGGGTTGGTTTAGTGGAAAAGCGGCAACACATCCGCTTACCCTTGCGGCATATCCTGTAGCTGAATTTCCCAGCCCTTTTACCTATGTTTCCCTCCGCATTTTCCCGAGTTTCCCCACCTGTCAGTTTATCTAACACGCACTCCAGGCTAAAGAGAAACGGAAGGATATTGGGACGGAGGCGGTAAAGTGCCAGGGAAAACGGCAAAAATAAAAGAACAAGAGAAACGAGACCAAAAAATACGTAAATTAACAAAACCTGCCGCCAATCATGAGTGTGTGTGTTTGTTTGTAGGTAAATGAAACCCTGATGGGAGAGTTTTTTCATTTTAGCAAAGGGCTTTTTTGTAAACTGAAAAGCATCGGGATACACTTTCAATCTCCGATGGGATAAAAAAAAACTAATGATTGGATGAAACCTTGCAAACATTTTAAAGATAATCAGAAAACAAAAGCTTAGGCTTGTCTAAACTTGAAGTTTTTAATTTTTTTTAATTTTAAAGGGTATTTTAAAAATTCGACTTGTTTTAAACGATTTCTCCCATGTTGTGTGCTTTTCGCCCCTTTTGTCAGAAAACAAGCAACAGGAACAACAGGAGGTACTAACTCCTGTGGCGTGACTGTGTGCGTGATTGTGAATGTGAGTGTGTGCGTGTGTGCGTGTGGGTGTGGGTGTGCGTGTGCGTGAGGGTGAGTGAAATTAGTTTAGGGCAACGAGGCGCATTTTTGAGATTCATAAACTTGCGTGCGTGTCGTTGTGTGTGCGAGTGTGTGTTAATTTCAAGTTGACTCCTCGTTTCACTCGTTTAATTGGCCCGACTGACACTAAACACACTCACAAAACACACATCCTTACACAAACTAAACATGGAAAATAACGAAAAAAAAAGAAGAAAATTAACAAATGAAGTTCATGCTTATGAATTAATGACGCAACTGGAGAACGAGAAAGAAAAATGAAGGTAAACCCAAATGGCAGACCTTGGAGGAGAATTGGGCTTAGGTTCATTGAACCTCAATCCATGGGCTTGACAAATTTCAATTAATTAACTCATTTCGTATTCATCTTCATTAGCCCAAATGCAATGAAACAGTTCAATTAAGCCAAGTCAATAATTCATGGTTCTAGAAGGACTCCTTCCTTAAGTAGCCATCGAAAATTCTGGCCAAATAAGTATTTGTTATACTGCATTTGAAGCAGTTGAATGATGGCAAATATATTTTGTTAACTAAAATTCAAACTTAGTAACCAAGTATATTGTAAATGTTTATTTAATTGCAAGAATGTCCTTTTGTTAGTGGTGAATATTTCGTCCTCCACCTTACACTTGAATTATATAGTATAAATCATTTTTATGTTAGCTATTTCCAACTTGGTTATAAGAGCCCATAACTTGTTGTACTTACAAAGGTATGCCACTAATGTTTGTGGTTGAATTCTCTTATAATCTGCAATAAATGATTTCTTGTTAATTTAACCATTTTCAAAAGCTTGAAGCTTAAGTCTCTAATAATCTACATATACATTTTTGTTTAAAATGTTTATGTAAATACTTAAAGCCTAAGAACAAGGACAATAGTAAATGTTAATTAAATGATAAGTTTGTGGGAAATTTTGCTTTGCGTCAGTCACTTGATTAATTCCAAGGAAATGTGCAGATTTATTATCTCTTTTAGTAGGCTTTCGTTTATTAACCAATTTAAATGCACATGTACGAGTATGTGCATCGTAATTTTCACGTTTTGTTATCAGGATTTTTAAATTATAAATCTTAAAGTACGGCCTTTTGAGATGCTGCGAAATGATTATTGCATGCCATATAATATTTACGGACAACACTTTATTAATGCTCCGCAAATACTGGCGAAAAACACAAGCTCGCACATATTTGCGGAGCATAAATTAAGGCGTAAAGCGAAAAATATTCCCCACGTTGATGGTTGAAAGTCAAAAAGGCGATAATTTCATTTACAACTGTCGCCCACACATCCATATACGGTATATGAAACACGCCCACTGTCCACCCCTTTTTTTTTTGTTAGCATTGGTTGACGTCAATTTATTGATACTCGCCAAAAAAAAAGGAAAAAAAAATAAAACAGAATTGGAAGCAAAGGAAAAGCGAACCGGAGCCATAAAAATGAAACTGAAAATGAAGGAAAATTGCCAAGAAGTGATGGGAAAAATCGGGATGGTGGTATGGTTGGGCTGGTGACTGAAGTTAAGGCATTTGTCAACACAACGCTTGTAATTTTTGTGTTTTTTTGTTGTGTTTTTTTGACTTGTTTTATTTCTTTTTTGGCGGCTAGCAAAGGGCATGACGTATACGCCACGGGGCACTTTGTAAATTTTCTTTGATGTTGGTTGGTTCAATTTAAGGTGAACACTAAATCATTTTTTTACTTTGGTATTCGCTTGTTTGGTTATATCTTTAAGAGTGGTCATCCAAATTTAGTATACTTTTCGCAAATAAAAAGTCACATGCATTTTAATTTTGAGGGTCACAGCTGAATAATAAATCAAATACAAATATTTGTATATATACTTCATTTAAAACGTTCATCATGTTTCTCTTATCTGATTTGAATTTTTGGTCCACATTTTTGTCGTATTGTGTTATTATTGTTAAAAACCAATTGTAGTTCAATCTATTGAAAAAAAATTGTTTTAAACGATACTTTGGAATAATCATGTAAAATAATAAAAATAATATTACTACGGTAACTCCCTGTTGGCATATTCCTTCATAATATTTGTCTTATCTCCGTGTCCTTTTGCGTTTTTATAGTTCTTGGTTTTATTTACTATTTGCTTGGCTGCGGGTGTCGACGAGTGGCGACGTAAGTTAAGTCAGTAGGATGCCAGGACATCAGGACACGCTTATCCTTTGCCACCACGCCGTAGTCTTCAGTTTTTCCCCAGTTTTCTTCAGGTTTTTCCTAGCTCGTCCCGCATTTTCCTTATCCATTTTTTCTCGGGGTCTCATCTTGTGCTCTCGTTACGGACGAACTGTGGAGAACGCGTAAAGCGTAAACTACAAATTGTTTTGTAGTTGCCTCAAATGCTTCTTGTTCTTGTTCTTTTTCTTTTTTTTTTCTTGTTGCGGCAACAGCAATTGGCTTCATTTTTATTGGCATTTATGGGGGGGCGTGGCAGGTGGGAAAGACCCACCCACAATTGGGGCAACTTCGTTACGCTCTTTTTATTTTTATTTTATTTCATACACGGTTTCCTTTTCTTTTTTTATACAGTCCGCCTCCCATTTATTTGACCTCGCCATGTGTGTGGGTGGCTGGGCGGTTGGGTGTTTGCTCACGTAATTCCCTAATTAAATACTTAAATTGTAATTGCTTTCGAACAGAAAGCGACGAACGCTTCGGGAGTCCTGTCATTAAAACGAGTATATATAAACTCGTATATATATAGTACACATATATATATCAGTAGTAGTCCATTGAAAAGAAATCAAGGTGTGTTGCTTTTGCAGCTGCTTTCTGGGAAAATGTGTAAAGTGTAAGGTGACTAAAAGATGTGTCCACATCATGCTTTCATTTTCAATTCAATCTGCTTGAATAATTCATCAGGAGGACTTGACATCGCATCACACAGACAGACATCCAATCGAATCAACTTTAATTGAATGAAAACAAATCATGCCAATCATATTGACTCTTCCCCAATTAAATTAAACAAAAATATTTCAAACATATCTAAGATGGTTTGTATCGATTTAAAAGTGACAAAGCCAAATAGAATTACATACATTTTGGGGGAATGAAAACGAGTTCGAACACTAGTAACCTTTCAAGCCCTTTAGACTTAACCATTATGATAGCTTAAGTTATGAATTTTAATAAAATCGAAGTTTTATGTTTTATGTATTAAAAAACACATACAATGGTATACCTTAAAATCAAGACAAAAAAATACATAAAATAGTATTCAGATGTCCTTCCATTGTTCAAACTTAAGAAAAAACTGTCTAAATTAGATTCATTATATATTATATTAATATTGTTACCTAATGGTAACAGTTTGTTTAAAAATTGGTAAAATTATATAACTTATGAAAAACTTAAAAATTAGAACAACTAATGTTAGTTATATATACTTAAAACCAGAGAAAACTTAGTTTTATAGAACCAAATATGTGCTTTAAAAATGCAATTTTGCGATAATGTACCACTAAGTTTATCTAGAATTGCCATCAAAAAGTGATGTAAGTGGAAAGCCAGAAGCTCTAGTGAGTGACTACCTTATTCGCTGGCCGTTAAGCCATATAAGTCATCGCTTTAATTTTAATTGGCCCGACTAAGCTTACGCTTACGCCTCTGTTGACCCAGGACCTCCGGCCACCGGCGATTTTCCTGTCTGCTCCTTGAACTTTCCTCGTGCATCCTGGCCACGTTTTTATGTGCTTTTAAGTGCGCAATTAAAGGTCAATTGCCGGCCAGGCTGGACAGCCAAACGGCTCACGCTGAAGTAGCCCATAAATGAGGCGATGTGAGGGTGACCCACCACATCTAGCTATATGTTACTTATTTTTTAAACAAAAACTTTATTGCTTTCAATGTGCGTTTAATTTGCTAAATAAACACGAAGAATAAAATGGTGTCTATAAATGATACACCATATAAATTATAGTTTTTTGATCCAAAAATAATATCCAAGCATTGGTAACAGTGCGGATGAGTGATAATAGCTAAAAATGTATGTGACTGTGCGTATGAGTAATTCTCTTTAAAATTTTCCTTTGTCGAAGAGTGGTTTTTTATATAATTTCTCTTTGATAGCGCTAACCTAAAAAATGTTTTTTTATTTATTGACAGAAGAATAAATATTTAGGCTTATGCTTAACACTCGATACGGCCGTAAACGCATAAACTTAAAAATAAAAATTAAATATATTTTATTTGTTTTAAGACACAATCCAAGCAACCGTATGCAGTTGTTGACAATGTAATTGTGAAATCTAGAAATCAAATCACTCAAAGCAGTCGTAATAGCTTGAAAATTTCCTGTAGAAAATGGCTGAATCGCAGTCCCTCAATTTGATCGAATATAAGGCCGGTCGCATGATCATGCTGGGCAAGATGATCGAGCCCGATGGGCGCAAGGGGCTATTCTATATGCGCCGAACCGCCGGCGATAACCAGGTGCACATCCACTGGATGGACCGGCGATCCGGGGCCGTTGAGCTGGACATCGTGGCCACGCCGGGTGCCCTCGAGTTTCGCCGCATCGAGCAGTGCGTAACGGGTCGGGTTTATGTCCTCAAATACACCCGTTCGGCGCAGCGTTATTTCTTCTGGATGCAGGAACCGCAGGCGGACAGGGATGCAGACTTTTGTCAGCGGGTCAATGAACTAATTGCCACCGGTGAACGGAAATGGGATGAGATTGCAGCGGTCGAGGGAGACGTGGATACGGATATGGAACATCGAAATTCTCGTCGCGGCGGCGGTGGTGAAATCGAGGAGTTGCGAGTCCTTGAGCAAATGCGTCAATTTCTAGCTGCCAATTTGCCTGAAAAGCAAGAAACTTGCTCTCAAACTAACCAAAGTTTGGCAAATTCACAGACGGGCAGTGGAGAAGTACTGGCCTTTCAAAATCCCGATATGTGGACACCAAACATGGAAGCTATTTTTCGTCCTCATGCCATCGAAGCCGTAAACAATCTTCTAGTGTCCCCAAAGCGGCGCCAACGATTGCTAGCTCAATTACCCAAGGATCCCGAAGATGAGGGAAGGAAGGGGGAGGAGGGGGAGACCAAGAAAATACTCGACCACCTGCATTCCCCAGAATTCAACGAAGCATTGTCCGTGTTTTCCCAAGGCCTGCAGTCGGGGGTCCCCAGATCGGTCCTGAAGCCACTACTTAAAGACAAGAAGGCCTTGAATGCTGCCCGAGCTGGAGATATTGAGCGTTTTCTACGTGTCCTGCATCGGAACCCACGAGATTACAGTGGGCCAACCGATTGAACCAAAGTGTCTCATAAATAAGTCAAAATAACAAAAAAAAAAAAACGCAGAAATATACAAGTATATAGTACATATCATACAGACGAAATAAAAGAATAAAATAAAGAGAAAAGCGTACAAAATGCAATAACTGCTTGACTCCTTGGCCGTCGCCTCTTCCTCGTCTCGAGTTACGAAGATAAATGAGTTGCCATAAGTTAGACGACAACTTGCACAACTCCAGACAAAGACCAAGCGGATAAAAGTGTGCTTGTGCTCAGCAAAAAAAAAAAAAGAAAAGCGCACTAAAAATTGATATAAAATACACAAAATCCAAAAAAAAAAAGTAACGCAAAAAGAAACGATGAAAACAAAAGAGGGAAATTTCTCAAATAAAAAATAGTTTTTACTTCCAAGTTGTGGGCCGGGCACATTGGGGAGTACTTAGGATCGGGTTAGTGGGGCTGTGGGGATGCAACGTTCAGTTCTTTTCCAGTTTTCCTTTGCCTCATTTGTATGGCGCCCTGTACTCTTATCCCTCCTTCCACCCCTATTTTACCAAAACTTTTTCCACGTTGTTTTAATGAAACTAAGTGAGCGGCAAAATGGTGGACAGCGGGGGCAGTGTTAAGAGATGAGCTCTGCCATTGGGCAGATAAAGCATTCAAAAATTCTGGACCGAAACATTTTTCGTTTTTGGCACGAAAAGAATACTTAAGAAACGCAAAATGTTCAAAAAGTTGTTGCATTGTGTCAGAGTTTGGACAAAGCCGTGGTGACGGTGGAAAAAATAAGGAAAGAAAAATACTGATCTAAAGCAGTAAAGTGTGACCAGTTATGTATGATTTTCCATTAGTGTGGCTGTACTTTGTCTCTGATGTGGCTCCAATTTTTACTTCTTTATAGGTTGTCCTAAAGATTCTTTAAAGATTCTACAACATTTTAAATGTTCCTCGAATCCAGTTATTTAAATAAAACATATTTAGTTTGGCGTTCATCTAAGCATGCCATTCGTGCAATTCACTTTAATTCTATTATATTTTCCATGAATTCCCCGCATTTAACCAACTAAAACAAATAATGCTTCCCCGCCTCTGGTCCCCCAGGGACCCACATTAAACTTAATGGTAAATGGCATTGCAGAGAATTGCCATAAAAATTACTTAAAACCCAACCAACAAGCAGCTTAAATATGCCGCTTATTGATGTTCTCCACAACGAAGCAAATGCAATAATAGTTAAGAGAAAAAGGGGCAAAAAAGAGTGGCGGGGGCACAGGGGGAATGCAACATGGGGAACTAGCTCTTTAGCCGCTTTGCCAGCTCTCAGCTCCCCAACTTCATTCCCATTTCCATGTCCATGTTCATGTCCTTTTCCACTTTTCCATCTCTCCTGCCCCTGCTGCTGCTATGCGTGTTGCATACTAATTTCAAAAATTTGCCATTACATTTGTACTTCGCACTGCTCCATGGCACTGCCACAACTCCATCCACCTATTTGCCACCCATTTTCCTGCCCTTCAGTTTGTCGGTTTGCTGCCATCTTGAATTACGCAAACACACACAGAGTGTGTGTGTGTGTGTTTTTCTGTTTTTGGTGCTGGATAATCAAGCACACAACTGAAGCTGAAGCTGAAGCTGGAACTGAAACTGAAACTAAAACTGAAACTGGCTAGAGGAGCAAGGGAATCATGGGGTAATTCACACACGAAATTGCCGGAATTTCTGCTGTAGTCAAAGGTGAAGCTTAAGCATCTTAGCCACACATGCAATGTACTCCGCACAAACAACCAACATTTCTAGCTCAAAGTGAATTTTCATTCCGGGCTAAATGTAAATAAAAGTTGGCTCCTTTGTTTTGGTTTTTTTTTTTTTTTTAACTATTTGCCAGGGACGCCAGGAGGAAATGCCGAAAGAATTTGCCACCTCATGGAGCTTTCAGGCAATTGGTCAATTATTTTTGATGCCATGTGCTGGATTTTAGTGCTTCAGTGTGCAGGAAAATAATTTAAAATTAGCTAAATTCACTAATTTAAATTATACATGCGTATCCCAATACAAAAGAAACATTTCTTACATATTTTTGTTAATACTGTTCTTGTGTATTCCTAGTTATTTATATTATTTTAAGAAAAAGTCTAAATGGTTTTTATACAAAATACTTGTGAAAGAAATGGGAATTATTTTACAAATTTATGGGTTTTTTTTTCTGCAGTGGTACTAATTTAAACTGCAACTTTGTTTGTTGGTTTACAGGAATTTATCAAATAGTTTAATTTATTTTGAAAATAAAATAAATATGTAGTGAGCATCTCTAAGCAAACACAGCAAAACACCTTTACACACGATTTCTTTTTGGCCTGTGGCCTTATTGGCATTTATTCCAATTTGAGTTCAGGCAATTGCAAAAGCCAAAAACATTTGATTAAGTTGATTGCGAAATTTTCGGAATTTGTGTGCTGCTTCAATGGGACTTCTAATGAGGATTTCTTTGAAGCGCCTCGAGTCAAAGTCGAAAACTTTAAGCACGTGTCATAATTGTGAATGCCACAGCGCTCTGGGAAAGACTCACACATATTACATATATAAATGTATATATATATATCGGATATCTGAAGTATGCTGCGGCAAACGGAAGCCAGGCAGACAGAGAAGCTGAAAATGGTAGACAAATGGGAGAGGCATTTGACATTGACCAAACATTGTCGCATTAAGGAAACGCACTGGCCTCAAGCATATCCTTGCCAGAAGACACTCATAAAGAGGTCGTCAAACATTTCCTCTCACCGATTCTCAGTTTATGGGTCTCTTTTCAGTTTCCTGAAAATATGGCCCTTGAAATGCCGCAAAATAGAGATGTCAAAGTATCGATAGAAACCATCGAAAAAATCAATTTTGTTTGATATACGAAAAGTTTGGTAAAAACATAGTTTAGAACGATTGTTAAAAACAATTTTGCTCATGCAAGCATTTGTATGAATAATTATTTTTTTCGGGATCAACTTTTTTAAATTACTGGCACACTTTTTTTTTTTGAAGAAAGCGTTTAAAATTTATTATTATTATCGTAAATATTAACATTTTGGTTTGATCAATCAATGGAGAGTACATTTTTTTGGGATTACATTATTTAATTTATGTCTGGATTTATTGGTGAATTCTTTGTGCAACACATTGTAATATATACTATCGATAAAGTTACCATCTCTCCAGAAAAAGTGTGCAATGAAAAAATCACGCCAGACCGGAGAAAAGTTGCCAAAATGGGCAGCGACAGTTTGGCTGGAAAAACCTCTTTCCCCAGCTTTTCCCGCCACCCCCTGAATTTCTCCCTCTTTTTAGTCACTGGCCTAGTTCGCATTGAAGCCGCAGTCCATGAGACAATAACTCGTAAAGTGCGGCGAGGGGCCAAGCGGAACCCGAATAAAAATCAAATAATAGCGTAAAAGCTCTCTCCTTAAAAAAAAATAACCAGAATATGAGTAAGGAGGAGGATTCCGGGGAAAGGGGGACATTGGGGGAAAAACCCTGTCCAAGGGACAACAATAAAATGTCGCCGTCGAGCTTTGTCCGCGTCGCCAAACCAGAAAGTTAACCCAGTTGCAGGGAGCAATGAATAAATTGTCCAGCTGAAGCTGGAAAAACTTTCTTGACGCACCCAAAAGCAAAATTAAATAGCAAAAACAGAAATATAAATAAAATAAGATACCTTTAAAAGAGGCGTACAAATAAAAATGATCAAACCATCTTAATTCATGACACGTTTGCAATGCATTTGCCATTATTGACTGCGACCAGCGCTCTCTAATTAACAGAAAATAAAACAATTTTTATTACAAGATAGTTTTATATGAGTCACAAAAAATATAAACAATTTAAAAACATGCGCACAATATTGTAATTCACATTTATTTCGATTTAAGCCAACAATTATTGAATCCCTTGAATAACTTGACTGGCGCCCCATGACTCGTGCTGTCATTCTCGGGTTAAGTGCACCGCTCGATATGCCAGATGAAGAGGACAAAAGTGCATTTAACAAATTAAAATCGCAGAAACCACCGTCCAAACGAAATGGCAATAAAGCACTGGCTGCACGCAAAAAAGGGAGAAATGGCTTTTTGGGCAACGTCCAATAATAATGTTGTTGCCGGGACCTCTGGTCCTCTGGTCCTTTGGTCCTTTCGTCCTCCTCGACTTGCCGACTGCGAAAATGCAATCCGAGCCGGAACTGACACGCACAAAAGGATATGCAACATTCACTAATAAATTTCATATTTATGTAGAACACAGAATGCAGTCGACGAGGGCTACGGGAAATATCCGGCGAAATATAAACGTGAAATTGCCGGCCAACCAGAGTTTGCTGTGTGTGCGGTTCGGAATGCAAATATTTGGAAATGGGGAGAGTGGGTACTTTTTGGGCACATCTGACAATCACGACGGGACAATAAAAACGAATCGAAATTAAACCGAATTTGTGGAAATCTGCATGGAGCAAAATGCCCAATAAAATCGTTACATATTTTGCTAGCTCATTACATTTTCAAAGATATTAAATAGAAAACAATTTATAACATCTTTCTTATTAATCATTATGGTAAGTTTAATTTGGGTGGTTGAAAACCTAGGAAAACAAATGAAAATACTTTATAACATGATTAAAAATACAAGAATTTCATAAGTTGTAATTTTTATATCCTGGTTTAATTAAACAGTTTTGTGATTTTTTCTCTATGTAAGTTTTGAATTCTCTTGCTAGCCATTTCATGTATTAAACACATTTACCCAGGAAAAATAAACATAAGATTAAAATCAAACATAATTTTGAGGTACTTTTTCCAGCCAATAAAAATTGCAACCAAAACACACAAAACCAGAAACCATAAACCAAAACCAAATCATTTTAATAATCAATTGCGAATCAATTTATTTCATTTGTGTTCCAATCATATTTTTCGCAACACAAGCGGCAATAAATTGTAGGTGGTGAAGTCCTCTTTTCCATTTTTTTTAAAGTGCCGTAATTTGCATAATTTGAAATTATTAACAACTGCTTTGAATCCGGCTGAAACTCTATAAATATTTATTTAATCATTTATTCATGCATTACATTTTCACAGTTTTAATGTTTACTTATTGCAAAACG